GCTCTATGGTGATATATTTTCCCACCACTTTTATTCAATGAAATTATGTTATGTCAGCATATCAGCATGGCATGATATCTTTTCATTTCCTCTTAGAACATTCAAATCTCTTATGTGTGAAATTATGAGATTCTTCCTCATCAGCTCAAAATAATAGAAGTAATAACAGTTGGCATATTTGTAGCCATAAATGTGAATGTAAGCCAAAATTATACATAGGCTCAGTATTTAGTGATGTGGTTGTATAGATGACCAAAATTATTTCTTTTAGATTACTATCACACTGAGAAAAAAAAAAAAAACTTCTGAATACTAAGAGCCTAGTCAGTGACAACTGAGAATATGTCATAGACATACTTGGAAAGACTAAATATGTATTTTGTTTGTCTTTCTAGGATATTACAAGTATCACAATTTGTTCATGAAATTTTGGATAAAGCTGAGCTGTTGGGACCCAGAAGTTAAATTTGTGGTTCATTGGGTTCAGTTTTAGGAAGTAATCTAGAGACACTAAAAACATTAAGAGGTTACCATGACAAGAGGTAAGAAGTCTAGCCACCTGGAGGTTATAACATATGGCCTCAAATAGCAGGCAAACTCAGCAAAAATTGAGCACATTGTAGGAGAAGGGGTAAGTAAGGGCATAGGGATCTGGCCACTTGTCCGAGAGAGAAGACCTTAATTTTACAAATCAGTGGCACACCATTGTCCCAAAACTGTGTGGGAGCCAGGAGAAGATCAGGAACAATGCCTAATTGCTGGTTAGAAACTCAAAATTGAGAATCTGGTAAAGCAAAGCAAGATGAGAAATAAGGAATTGCTATATGAGTAAAATAATAAAGCACAAGGAATCTTGTACTAAAATGCAATTACAGAAAAATTGAAGTGGTAGCAAAAGGAACTAATTTTTTTTTTTTAGGATAATGAGAGTTTTCTCTTTAAATTTCAAATTACTTTTAACTAAGTAGTGGACACAAATGATCTCTGCCTATCCTATATTTTGAAAGATTTCCAGTTAAATTTATTGATTATATATAATGAAATTATTTTTAAAATTAATTTTCACAGTCCTGAGAAATCTCCATTTTCTAAAATTAAGATGGTGTGGTTCTATAGGAACAATGAATGAGAAAATGATTTATAAAGTCTTAATACATCATATTTTTATTTTAGTTTTCATACTGGGATTGAGCCCAGGCCTTTTGCAATGACCTACATCACCAGTCTGTTTTTTCTTTCCTTTCAAAATTTTCAGACAGAGTCTCTTTCAGTCAGGAAGCCCTTGCTGGGCTCTGTTTTGCGGTCCTGCCACACGGGCCCCCAGAATGCTGGGATTATACATGTGTGCTGCCAAACCTGGTCCAGACTGTTTTATAGAATGGAAATAGACCCTAGTGTGTGTAAGAGCTTGCAACACAATTAAAAACTTAGGAGTGCTCACTCATGTGCTGAGTCTCTTTAAACCATGGCAAAAGGACTAACAGGAACAAGACAAGAGGCCACACTAATTTATCATTGGCTACTGACCTGAATTTATTGCTACTGAAAGATATGTGCCCTCTCTGAGATGGTGGGAAAGTCCTTGTGTCCTGTTTTTCTCTTTATTTTTGTCCAAATTTACCTAACAGGGTCGTTTCTACAAACTTCAGTTGTTCATTGTATCTAATAACTATAGCTAGAAAATGGATTTCACCTGGTGTTGACTGATTGTTTCGAGCATTAAGGTGGCTAGAAAGAGTTAACTAATAACAGAGGTCACTGTTAGTGGCATAATGATTATCATTTGACATGATCAGAATTCTAATTCAATGATTATTATAAATGTGACCACTAAACTGGAATACAGGTACACAAAAGAGATTTGTAGTCCCTTCCAGAGTAGATGAATTTGCTCTAAGTCTAGGTACAGAATCTTGCTGCTCACACCTAGTTTCAAGTACAAAGAAATAATGAGAATAATTTTGGAACTAAATTGCACATTTCTATTTAGCTGCTAGTATACTTCATGTATTAGATTTATAGGGTATTTTCCATTATTACTATGTATGACTAGATGTGACTAAAAATACCAATACATTTATCATCATGAATGCAACTAGAAAAGTTATAACATTTTGACAGCAAAATAATGCTTGTCAGAGACTGCTCTAAAGTGTATTTTTTACAGTATCATGCCTAAAAAGTGTATGCTGATAGTGGTACATGCGTGTAAACATACAAATTTTTTCCTCTGGAGATATAATATGGTATTTCACATAAATGATTATCTGTCCCATGGGAAATCCATGCAACTGTTTTCTGTCTCTTGAACTACAAGTTGAGCTTCATCTGTAGGCAAAAGTCTGAATATTTCATCAGACCTATTTTGAGTAAAAAATATAGCAAAAATCTTATGGTTATATTATTAAGTTTTACACACACATAAAAAATTGCACTCAAGAGGCTGAGACAGGGAAGACAGCAAGTTTAAGGCTAGTCTGGATTACACAACAAGACTCTGATATGCATAAACATAATCATCTGGTGTTTGCACTTAGTATGCTTCTTCAATTTTCTTAGGACCTTCCTTCATATGGCTCAATACTACTGAAGATGTTCCCCTCCATCTAGTAACTTTAATTTTTCAAAACTCAAAACATAGGCTTAAACTCCTGCTGCCTTATCCAAACAGCTGTTTCATGTTTAACATACACATTTAAAAAATATTCGGCAATGGGAGAAGTTACAAGTTGATTTAATTTCCACGAAATTCTTGGTGGAGCTCAATTGAATTTCTTTTCTTAATAGGATTGTGTTCATCCTAAATTCTAACAAATCACTGGGTGATTTTTTCCACTGTATACAAGTTTTGTAAATTCTGGCTTCTCTTTCTCTCCAGACTTCCACACTCCCCCAAGTGGATGTCTGAGAAATTTAGCCAAGTGCCACTAAGTAACTGTGACACTTCATAATGTGCTCTAATCAATCCACATCTTTTTAAAAAGCCTGGGCCTGATGCATAGTGAATTTCTCTTTATACGAAGAAAAGACTTGCCATTCTACCACCTATAATGCATCCTATAAGACTCATAAGACTCATAAGACTACGGCTTCCTTTATGAAGACTTTATTTTTGTCTCTTCTTGTATGTTTATCTTTCAAAAAGTAAAATCAAGCTGTCAGATTCATTTAAAAACCACATCACGGTATGTAGGGTCACAGCCCTACAAAATTCTCCATATAGGACTTATAAAATGAACTGAATGGCCATCTTGACCCCCAAATAAGCAAGATAAACACAGTTTATATCAGCCTGCAGTTTGCTCTGACACAGGGGCAGCAGAATGTCTGGAATCTGCTTTAACCAATTAAGTCTTTCAAGGCAGAAGGAAAATAAAGCCTTGGGTAAATCCGTTGAAGGCAGCATCTTACAGCCTCCCATTGCCTGCTATCGATCTTTTTAAGTGCTGGCTAATGAGCCCTATGGTAGCAGCCGATCTGTGGCGTGTGTACCTGATGGGACGCTCTCCCCACAGCCGCAGAAGAGCTAAACTTACACAGAGGATCAAGGGGTTGGGGGGGGGGTGCGGAGAGGCTGACAAACGGGCTGATGGGGGCCTCGGACCCCTTGAGAGTCAGCGCCAACATTCAGTCTCCAGGGAGCGCAAAGGAGGGCTCCGCACTCTTGGGCCCAACCCTTGTTCCAGGGCAGGAAAGGCCCCGCTCAGGTCCCTGTGTGGAGGGTGGGCGCTTTTGTTCACTCCCACTTCGTCTATTGGGAGAAGAACCAGAGAGAAACGCAAAGCCAGCTTACAGCAGCAGCTTCTACTGCCGCAAAGCAACCCTTTCCTCTCAGCTTTGGCGATGTAGGAAGCACTGGGGTTCCCGGGAGAGGTGGAGGGGAGGGATGCCAGGACAAGAACCGACACCCCAGGAGTCCCTCTTCCCCTTCTACCCATTTCCACTCACATGGCCACAACCCCCGCCCCCTCCCCAACTACCAGCAATGGGCACTTACGGTGTCCGTAAAGGAGTGGGGTGGGGGTGCATTTCCTTTCCTCGTCTCTTTCTAAGACTCTGAACAGCATGCAAGCCTCCTTACTCAAAAATACATTCAAAACAAACAAAATCGAATAAGCTGAACCCAATAGGTACCAATAATCTGGAGAAGGAGAAGCCGCGGCTGGCACCCGCCCGGATCCGCTGCACTTGGAAGCGGGTTGGCTTTGGT